AAAGCCTTAAAGAAACGTGCTCAAACTGAAAATCACCAAGAACAACGCCCTAATCTATCCAGAATTTGCCTACATAAGTAGGACTTCAGTATGCAACAACAGTGGCACAAAATTGATGCACAAAATGAGAGAAATCTTGAAAAGAAATTTACCTAACGGAGCTTCTCCGTTGGGGCTTCAATTGTGCTCAAGCTTGCGCAAAACTATCCAGAAATGTTCAAGGAAGATCAAGGAAGATGTTGATGATCTTGATTTGCTCTAAATTTGCTTGATTTTGAGTTTCAAATTTTCACTTCGTTCTTGACTTTTGCAACTGTTTCCAAGCTTCTCCTTCACCAAAATGCATGAATGAAGCTTCAGAATTGATCAGAAGCTTTTATATTTTGGATCCATGATGATTTGGAGGCCCAATTTGGCCTGTTATGATGAATTGGAAAATTTCAAAGTTTGAAGTTCAAGCTTCAAGTTCACACGTGAAATGGATCCAAATGCCTTGGATTTTGATTCAAATTGCTTGCTGGTGATGAGTAGTAATCCAATGGATAAGAATTAACCCTTGAATTGATCTAATGGTTGGATTTGAATGAGAGGCTTCACCATGAAGTTACTTGAAATTACTCATGTGTTCCACTTCATGAACCAAAAATTTTTGGTGCATTATTCTTAGTATGATAAATTGAATCAAAGAACACACAAATATTATATGAAAAGGAATTAAATCAATCCAATTCAATTCATGCCTTTTAAAGTCCTTTTTCCATGGAATTCCTTCACCAATCTCTTCATCCAACCATAATCCATGACAAATGAATGTTCAATGATAGAATTGAGTTCATTTGAAGAAAGTTTAATGTTGGACAAATTTCCATTTGAAGTGTGCAAAAGCATGAAATGGACCTATAATGAAAATGACTTATAATCTCACTTTCCCAAAATACCCTTGCCTTGCAAGCTTCATAACTTGAGTTCTATAAATTAGATGAAGGACTTCTATGACTTTTTGGAAAGCTAAGATCATAAGGAACAACTTTCATGTTTATCAAAAGTTGAGGTGAAACATGATTCTAGGTCAAAAATGCCGTGGAAGTTGGTTGACTTTTGTTGATTGAAATTACATTCATCTGAGGACCCATAGCTTGTCAGCATCATAACTTGAGTTCTAGAAATCATATGGATAAGATCTAGTACTCAAAAGAAAGCTAAGAACATTCTCTACAAGTTTCATGTTTGCATCAGAGTGAGATGAAACTTGTATATTGAAATATGTAGTCTTGAAGTTAGGCACTAAACAAGAGATTTTACACTGACAAGCTTAGAAACCCTAATTTAGCAACTTCTCACACCTTTGATTCTTCTTAAATTGATCTTGAAATAACATCTTATATGCTTCAACACAACTATCCATGATCATAATGACTTATAACCAAGTATTAATCTCCTTCAAATTCACAGTTGATCTTGCACTAGGCAGATGAAACCCTAGGTATGCAATCCTTTGACTGCAACCTCTTGCACATGATGTAACAATTTGGATAAGCTCCGCAATGTCTCTCAAAGCACTTCATGAGCTCCCATAACATTCTCCATCCATAACCATAGACTCATGATCCTCTGATGATCTTCAATTGTCCTCCAAGATAGGAGATAAACCATATCTATCCATCCACCCTCTCAAAGAGTTTTGGCCTTCTCCTGATGATGATAAGCACTTGATAACTTGAGTAAGCACTATTGCTTAGGCTTAGAACCCTTGGTAACCTTATCTTTCTATGCACACCTCTCATGATCCCCTGCAAATGAACAATGATATGCAAATGCAAATGCTAGAAGATGCAATGAAACATAAGCCACGTAAAGAAAAGGTTGGGCAAATTTTGGGGTGAAACAATGCATTAGCTGCAAACAATACTTAGAAGTGGGTTAAAAAACCACCACATGTGAAACCTATTAGTAGCAAACGGGTGTATAAGGCGAAACATAAAGCTCATGGTTCAATCGAGAGATACAAGTCATGATTTATGGACAAGGGTTATAATCAAATAGAAGGTCTGGATTTTTTTTATACTTACTCACATGTGGGAAAATTGACAAGAATCACAATCCTCATTGTTCATGCTTATATGAAGAATTGGCACATCCATCAAATGGATGTGAACAATGTTTTCTTGCATGGTGATCTATAAGAGGATATGTACATGTCCATACCTGATGGGGTCTCATCCAAACCTAACTATGTTTACAAATTGCAAAAGAGCTTGTATGGTTTAAAGAAAGCAAGCAGTAAATGATATGAAAAACTGACTCAGATTCTCATCCAAGAGGGATATCATCAATTCACACATGTTTACTCCCTGTTCATTCTCAAACAAGAAAGTAATTTCACTTCCTTTTTAGTGTATGTTGATGATATCATTTTAGCTAGAACTTTGCTTGAGGAATTCACTAGAATCAAAGGCATCCTAGATAAAAATTTCAAGATCAAGGTCCTTGGCATTCTAAAGTACTTTCTAGACTTAGAAGTAGCACACTCTAAAGAATCCATGTGTATTTCTTAAAGGAAATACTTCTTGGATCTTCTTGAATCATCTAGGCTCTGGATCAAAACCAACTAACACTTCCTTTGGTCTTTCCATAAAAGTTCTTCAAGATATAGTCGCCCGTTTGAAGATGTTTTAGCTTATAGAAAGCCCATTGGAAATTTTATATACCTCAACAACACTATACCTGATATTACCCTAGCCACACAATAATTGATTTGGTTCCTAAATTCACTAACCATCACTCATTTTAAGGGTGCTTGTAGAGTAATCTGATATATGAAATAAAACCCTGGTAAAGACCTTATGTTTTCTAGAAGATATCGAACACAAATTCTAGGTTGTGGATGCAAAATAGACAGGTTGCTCTGATTCAAGAAGATCAACCATTGTCTTTCTCTTCTTCTTAGGAAATTCACTTGTATCATGGAGAGTAAAGAAATAACAAACCATCTCAAGGTCATCTTTAGAAACATAGTATCGAGCTTTGTCAACTACAATATTTGAGTTGCAATGGCTCTTGTATCTTTTGAAAGATTTAGGCATCATATGTAGCAATCAACCTGTCTTGTATTGTGATTCACAAAGTGAAATCAACATTGCATCAAATTTGATTTTCCATGAGAGGATAAAATACTTAGAGATAGATTGTCACTTTGTGAAGAATGGTCCAAAAAAATGTTCTTAAATAACTAATAATATTTACTCAAGAACAACTTGCTAATTTTTTACCAAAGTCTTGGCTCTGTTGATAGGAGGATATTAAATGACAAATAATAAGTGATTGAAATCTTTTAAAACAAAGCATATACATTGCACATGATATAGATAAGGATCATGAAATTACTTGTTGTCGTAACATAATCTTAAAATTTTGTTATGATTAATCCACTACATACTTATGTATGTTAGATATAATGTAGCATCATGATAAACATACATAGATTTGTAATCAGTTTGCAATGATAGAATTGCAAAAATAATACATTGTTTCTCTTTTCCTTCTCCAATTTTCGAACTCCTTTTATAGAGTTTCCATGGAGTTTTCATTTTCTTTAACAACAAACGAATTATAAAAACAATCATACATGCCCATTTATTTAATTTGGTAATAAAGTCTTAGAATTCATATCGCAGTTCAAGAACTTGGGAAACTATTAGAGTCCGTTTGGTTCAACGAAGGGAGGGGGAGGGGAGGGGATTGGAGGTATTTTAACTAAATGTATGTTTGGTTCAAAGAATGGGAGGGAAGGGGAGGGTAAGGATTTTTAACTACATATATGTTTGATTCACAAGGGGAGGGGAGAGATTTTAAAACTAAATTACATTTTTATCCTTACAAAACATTCAAACATAACCGTAAACAACAACACACATTAGTTGAAATATAGTTATTCGACGCAAATATTATTTGCTAATAACAATTCTTTGATGTTGATAATTCATCTAACCTAATAAAACAATTTACATAATTAAAAAGAGTTAAAATAATGTTAGAATGTTAAAAAAAATGAACAAATAATGCTAAAATGTTCACTTTTTTTAATCACAAATCACATCCTAAAAAATTCATAATTTTTTTAATTACAAATCACATCCAATTATTATGTGTTCTTCAATTGATTAGTCTTCCAGTATAAATATTATCCATACTATCTACTACCTAACCAGATAGATATGAATTATTTTATATCAGAAAATAATTGAACTTTACTATAATTCATATCCTTAAAAAAAAACTATTTGCTAACACGTATGATTAGGACAAAAGTTTAACATATAGTTCCTAATCCTATGAAATCATATAATTTATAATTCTACAAAACCATATAATTTTGGATCCTATTAAAAAAACTTGTAAATAAAATTAATACTAAAGCTTAACCAATAATTCCTAATTTTAATAAAAAATACTTGCTGATAGTACATGGCATTTAGTTTGATCTACCTAACATAAACAAATTGACGGGAGTAAAAATTAAGACACTCTTAGAATCAAAATAAATAGTTAAGAATAAATTAAAAAATATAATAAAAATTTAAATAATGAATATTTTCTTTCCTCGGAATCTCTCCAATTTGAAGGGAAGTAAAAATTAAATTTATGAAAAGATTTTGCTCCCTTAGTAAATTAAAGTAAACTAATAACGGACTCTTGCAAACCAATCAATAAGAAGAAGAAAAAAATATTTATTTATGTAACAAAATAACAAGTTTATTTATGATATATAAACAATAAGCCTAAAATACCCTCCACCTAATGCAAGCTAGCAATATAGGAGAATATATAATAAATAGACATAATAATAAAAAATATAAAATGGCTTATACTGTATAATAAATTCCCTGAAATACCCCTCTAGAATATGTATGACTATGTCAAAAGACCAAAACTATGTAACCAATAAACAACAAACAAATAACTATATCATACAAAGTCATCGAATAGGGTCAACAAACCAATCAACGATCCCAGTCACACTTGGTGGTCTGAAACCCACCGTCCACCGTCGAACCGCCGCCGCCAGATTTCAAAGGAACACGCAACTCACAAGTAATCTTCGGCTTAATCGTCCTTGTCTTAAGCACTCCCAGCTTAAACCTAATCCTAAGATAAATCTTCACATCAATCTCATAAACCTTGGAATCCTTCTCCTTACTAAAATCCAAACTCTGATCACCGTGAAGAACCACCACTTTCGAACCCTTAAACGAAGGGTTGAGCAAGTTAGTTGTTTTGTGTCCTTGATAAAACGGATCAAGAAAAACAGAGTCAACTCTAGCATCATGGTACAACGCTCTAGCTTCGATGTAGTCGTAATAGATACCAAGTCTTTTGTTCGGGTTGCGGATTGTCATGTTGAGAGAGAGATCATAGTTGAGGTTGTTGTTGGTTGTGAAGTTGAATTGTGTGAGGGAAGCGTCGGTGACGTGGACTTTGACTACGTTGGGACGAACGATGAGCCAGAAAAGGAAGATGGCGATTCCGATGATTATTATGACGGTGAGGATTAGTTTGAAGATGAGGTTGAAGAGACAGCCGCAGCAGCAGTCAAAACCGCCGCTGCGGGATGGGCGGTAGTGGGATCTTGGGGGTGGGATGGAAGGGCCGTAGTAGGCTCCGTTGAGTTGTTGTTTCTCGTACATGGTTGAATTTTAATAAAGGAAGAGAAGTGGTTGTGGAAATAAAAAGAGATTGGAAAAAATAAGATAGGAAAAAGTGTGAGAAAAGTGTAATATTTATATAGCTGATAGGAAGGAGAGGTATGAGGTATGAATGGGAATGATCCATATGGAGTAGATAGGAAGAGAGGTGAAAGGAACAAGTGTATATTGTGGACTGCAAAACAAGTGAAAAAACGCGTGTAATAGTCTCTACATTAGATTATACTCCTAGTTGGGAAAATAATTACGTCAATGGAATATAAAACACGGCATGATAACTAACACAGGGATAGAAAGTCTGGTTCGAACTTTAGAACCAACTGTTAGAAAATTCATTAATATTTTTGAAAAATATTCCTTTTGGACATAATTAGAAGAATATATTTATTGATTTTAAATTGTAACCCTATAATTTTGGCAACCAGACATGTCCATTCTTTTTAGATTCGTCTTGTAAAAGTTTTTTAAAAAAGTGAGGCAATGCGACTTGAGCATTTAATTTGACATCTTCATAAAACTTTTAGAATTTTGAGTAGTTATTAAAATTTGATTTTTTATCGAAAATTCTGAAATTTTCGATAGTTATAAAAATTGTTTTTTATCAGAAATTCTGAAATATCTAATAATTGCTAATTTTTTTTTTAATTTTTTCTTTTTTTTTCCAGTGAAATACAGAGACAAAGACGAAACTATTGCAGGCAGAGCTATTGATAGAACGGCAGACTAGACTAGGGCTGCTGAGGCCGAGTCTTCTCAGATACCGGCTAGACAAGTGGTCCCTACCGATTCACACCGAAAGCGATTGGTTGAGTATGTCAGTTTCCCGCACCACGTAACACTCGATGTCGACCGTTACGATCAATTGAGCATCCCAAAGATGACGTGGAAAATGAGGTGGTGCAGTCAGATGTTGCTGTTGCTGATCAGACAGTTATTGATCCGGTGGTTGCTAAGGAGGTTGTTGAGGAGTTGGTTGAGGAGGTTGCTACGGAGGTTGTTGCTCAGGTGGTTCAGCCAGATGTTGTTGTTGCTGATCCAGTCCCATCTGTTACTGCTGACACAGAGGTTACAAATCCTTTGATCGAGCCCTTTATTAAATTGTTACGAATAACATTTCTTATTTATTATTTGTTGTGTTTGTGTTTTGATATTAGTGTTGGATATACGAGCATCTCTATACCACCTGTGATACGAGTGTGCAACATTCCCCAATAAGGGGCCCCACGGGTGAGGAGATGCAAGGGCAGGCAGGCACATCCCGATGGTGCTGCTAAGTACATGAGGTGGCTCTATGTGTTGACTATAGATGATGTCATTTAAACACCATATACTGGTCATAGATGAAATTTTGATATGCAGATCACAGATGTCCCAATAGATGTCGAGACATTGATATATGCATAACAAAACAAGGCCAAAAACAAGAACATCCAAATACTGCAAATACAATACAGTGTCATGACAGATGTTTCAACATCTATTATGACATATATTTCATAAAATAAGAGCAGCCTGGATTTAACATAACAGAAAGATAAAGAACACTAAGATATGATGATCCAGTTTGGTGAACAACAACACCTACATCTAGGGGCTACCAAGCCAAAAATGAATCCACTATTAGTAGTATTAATTTAGAGCTAAACTCCCCCATTTACAACTCCTCACTTAATCCCTACCTAGTGCGACTTCTATCTAGAAATTACCATATAAACAAGAGAAACTCATCTCAATTCCTAAATCACCTCAGTGATATCTAACAGTCATAATCTCTGGTGATTGTATCAAACTGTTCAATTGAAAGACACCCTTTCTAATACAATATTCAGTCAAACTCTTGACTAACATTAATACTTGGATTTGCTTAAAAGCTTCTTCCAAGAACAATATACAATTCATTACCTACAGGTTTTTGAATGTGTAAAACTATGTCCATCACAATGTATCAACTGATACAAAGGGTGACTTACAAAACAAGAAAGTACACGACTCTCAAAACCCTAAGCCCGTATAATAAAATTACAAGCATTATTTACAAGGTCTTTCTCTCTTTTTATACCCTAGGTCTTAGTCTTCCTTTTATAGCTTTCACTAGTCCATGGGCTTCAAAGTCTCTGTCCAATCTTTCCTTGATCCACATTCTGATTGCACCTTAAATCTTGGAACAAATCTGCAATAAATTTGCTGCACATGACCAAGATGTCGAGTCCACAATGCTAGGACATCTTGCCGGACATGTTGTCTTATACAGATTTCTTCTTGTTGGAACATCTTGTGCAACATAATGTTTTACCAAAATTTAGTCAAATCTTTAGAGCCTTCAATAGAGTCCATCGTGAGTTCGAAGACTCTTCATTATATTTAGGTTATATGTGGTGGAAGACCATGGTTGCTAAACACTTGCGTGAGAGGTGTCTGCGACAATATGGTTATGTTCAGAGTATCTCACGACTAGATCCAGATATACCTTTGCGGGCATTGATTTGTGGTTTTAGAGTAACTTCATCAGCTCTGGTCGTGCCATTAGAGATCAAGCAGTTATGATTCAACACCCCTCACAGTGTGAGAATGGTTACTTAGAATGGTATCTCACTGTATCATACCCTTGCATCATCCCACCTGTTGAGGATATATGTGTTGTTACGTTTTTTGATCATGGGGTACCTGTTGATGACATGCCTCTGCCTCCTACAGCTGATGTCGATGACCAACAGCGTCTCCAAATGATTGCAGTTATTATGGATAATTTCATGGGTTTGGTAAAGCCATATGGAGAGGTTTATACTAGATTATTTTGGACTGCACACGTAACCCGTGGGGGACCTATTTAGAAATATTTTGTATATTATGTATTATATATATTACTCATACATCTTCATCATAAATTTTTATTAGATAATATTTTTTAATCTCCCATTGATGCAACATCAACATTGACTAACATTTGACAATGGATTACATAACTTAATCATAACTTTAAAAAACGATAATAAATTAGAAAACCTAGACACTACCATATGATTATGGATGTTTCATCATCTTAATTATGTCGTTGGCAGACTTAAAATCTTAACATCTAACTCGATCGACCCCTTTTTTTATCCTATGACGAAATGATCTCCACATATTATTCACATCTTCATCGGTCTTCAACTTAATAATTAAGGTTGTATTTCACCCTTATGTTAGTATCAATATAATCTGCATGCAACTCGATCTTAACCACCTTTCTATTTTCGGTATCAGGCAACAATTCATTCAACTTGGACGTTAGACCAATGAGAGATTTGGTGCCATCCGGAAGCCGGAACTCTATAGGAGATGAAGCTCCGTTGAAGTACACTTCTGCCTTTATTAAAAATTGAGAAAGAGACATTTTTTGAGATGTTTTTATCAAACAATAGGTGACCCCATATTTATATAATTTTGCATTTACTCTGAACCATACAAAACTGTCGGTGCAATCACAATCATTCTAAATTGTCGGTAAAATTCTGAGCGTTTAAAATTTCAAACAAATAATTCTACAAGAAATTTCATTTAGGTTGAAATTTCCGGTATAAACAGGTAAATTTCAAATGTCTAGAATTTATTGGAACATACCGGAAATTTTGAACTATCCGATATACCGGAAATTTACAATACACTACCAAAAATTTGGATTGTATCGAAAATTTTGTTTTGCCTATCGGAAATTTCATTCAATTTTCAGCCATGGGCAGTTTTGGCAATTTAAAAGTATGGGGGGATGTCAAGTATAATTGTAGGGTGACAAGTTAAAATCTCAGTGGGCATAGTTGAGGATGTGGGTCTAAACCCCGTGAGTGCACCTTCCTATTAGAATTATTTTGAATGATGTCAAAACTAGGACAATTTAGCATTTATGTATATTGGACGCTATTCTCCGAGTCTAAATGCGCATCTTAAAATTATGAGGCATAAAGGCATTTTGGAAATGATTTATAAAAGGTCTCATGCCTAAAAAATAAGTTTTTATGTGAAAACAGTTGTATGTGTCGACATATACGAGTTACAGGTCGACCTATGTAACTCATTTTAAAGCCTGTAGCCCATGTTTGATGTGTTGACTGCATAGGTCGACACATGACTTATACAAGTCGGCACATGCATTGAATAGGTTGGCCTATGACTTACATAGGTCGACACGTGCATTAAAGTTTTTAAAAATTTGCATCATTTTCTAAACCTAATGCATTCATATTGTTTCTAACTTACACACACACATTCTAACTTACTTTAGTGTAATTTCATTAAAGTTTTTAAAACAGTTTTTGTAAAGTAATTTTTTAACTTGGGATTTATTCACCCCCTCTAGATAAGTCTCATTCGTCTAACAAAATCTAGTTCCACCCTACAAAAAAGTGAGGGCGAATTGTGGAAAGTCCGCAGACACTGTACCTTTGAACCCTAAAAAGGAAAATTTTTATGTAAATGTCTGCGCTTGCAAAAGCCCATGAAGAAAATAGGGTGGGGCGGTGTTTACTGTGAAATTTGGTAAACAACCTCTGGTCTATCAACTTTGGGTAAAATTGAGTAACTTGCAGGATCGACCATACAAATCCTAGGATATGTGCTAAGTTTAAAAGAAAATCTAAATTGAACTCCACGTTCGACTATAAAAACTTTGTAAAGTAAAAAACAACTTGGAAATTGACAAGGATGTAAAATAAAGGGTGCAATTCTTAAAGCGTCGAAAGTAAAAGGCAAGATGTAAAAAACTTTGAAAATAAAGGCAATGATGTAAAGACTTGAATTTGATAAAAGTGCAAGAAAGTAAGTGTGTAAGACGTCGAAAGTAAAAGCAATAATGTAAAATGTTTGAACTTGATAAAATGCAGGAAGGTAACAGTCAAAAGCAATTAAAAAGACTTTTAAATAGCAAGTTAAAATAAAGTGCAGAAGAAAATCAACTGAAAGTAAAGATTAAAAATAAAGTTTCAAGGAAGAACATGTAAATACGA